ACCTCTATAAACATGCCCCACTTTCATGTCTGCCAGTTGTATCTGTGAATGGCAGACAGTCTGCATCATTCTTTTGGTGTATAAATGGGGAATACGACACCCTTGTAAAGAGTGAAGATATAAAAACTCACCATGAAGTTCAGTGATGGTTCTAAATATACTCAGCCTCCAGCCTTGTGTATTTTTATCTCCAGAGAACTTGGCCATTACCCCTGATATCTGTTACACTAAGAGGTCCTGTTATCACATATATAACACATATAAACACTTATAGTGCTAATCGCTGACAGATAAATGGCTTTGCTTCAGCAGACTCTTATATGATTCTCTGTAACCTGAATGAACCTAATATATGAATGACTGGCGCTAAAATCTGATGCAATTGATGTTTATTCACATGTGGACAAAATTATCCAGTAAAGTGATAGCACTGTACACTACATCTACTGAATACAGGGTCACTAACCTTACTAGACCCATAACTAACACAGAATGACCAGGGTGAGGATGTCTGGTCTTAAAAGAAAAACCCAGCTCAACGAACAGATGTCGAGTATATGCAACGACTCTCAACATAAATTTTTGAAAATATGGGAGCCGTGGTTGCAATACGCCTTTCCCACGCTCCCCCCGGCCAGTGTGGGGAGGTAATGGAGTTTGGTATTGGCGCTCGTGGACCCCTGCTCTTTGGTGTGTATGTGTGTTTTTTTTTTTTTCCTCTCTGTTCTCTCTTTTTTTGTTTGTTTTGGTGTGACAGTGGACAGCTGCCTTTAGTTGCGTTAGTCAGAGGTTCACTGATGTTATTGTAACCTATGTGCCATTGATAGCCCCTGCGTGGGCATACGTTTTGCCTTATTAGAATTAGAGCGTTGTCTGCTCTATTATGCCTTTTTTTATCAGTGCAATTGATAGCCCCTGCGTGGGTGTGTTTTTGTTGCCTCTGTTTTATACGGTTTAAAATTAATAAAAACAATTGAAATACAAAAGAAAAACCCAAATTCAAAGCCTCATTTTGATTAACAAGAGTGCTTATGCAGAACCATACCAAGGCATTTTTAAATGCATCCTGAATGCAATACTTTTTTTTAAAAACAAATAAAATGGTGTTGCGCTAATATCAATAGTACTAAGGACACAATAATTCGAAGAGTGGGGAGACAGAAAAAATAACCCCAAAACAGAGGTGATAAGTATAAAGGCCTTAATCCAGACCTAATTAGGTGCAATATGAACTGTGACAAAGACAACATGAGTAATTATTATTATTACACAGGATTTATATAGCGCCAACAGTTTGCTCAGAGCTTTACATTATAGTGGAAGACAATACAGTAACAATACAGTTCAATACAAGAGGGATAGGAGGGCCCTGCTCCTTGGAGCTTACAATCTAGGAGTATAATAATAATCAGCAAGTGAACATAAATAATACATAAAGATGTAAAGGCCTGAACCCAGACCAAACAAAGTGCAATATAGCTTGTGATGAAATACAACGTGAACAATAGTCACCAAGCGAACATAAATAATGTATTCAACATAATAGAACTAACACATCCTAAATAAAAGTGCACAAAAAACACAGTGCAAAGAAAACTGTGCAAAGAAAACTGCCAAAATCAAATGGCAAAAAATATGTGCAAAACTAATCATACAAAGTGCATGAAACTATAAATGCATGAAACTATAAATGCATCATAAATAATACATCAAAATGTAAAGGCCTGAAACCAGACCAAACTAAGTGCAATATGGATTGTGATGAACACAACGTCCACAATAATCAACAAGTGAACATAAATAATACATAAAAATGTAAAGGCCTGAACCCAGACCAAAGTAAGTGCAATATGGATTGTGATGAAATACAACGTGAACAATAGTCACCAAATTAACATAAATAATGTATTCAACATAATAGAACTAACACGTCCTAAATAAAAGTGCACAAAAAACACAGTGCAAAGAAAACTGTGCCAAAATGAAATGGCAAAAAATATGTACAAAACTAATCATACAAGGTGCATGAAACTACAAATGCATGAAACTATAAATGCATCATAAAAAATACATCAAAATGTAAAGGCCTGAAACCAGACCAAACTAAGTGCAATATGGATTGTGATGATTGTAATAGGACTAGCACGTCCTAAATAAAAAGGGCACAAAAAGCGCCGTGCAAAGAAAACTGTGACAATCAAAAAGCGAAGAAATATATGTGCAAAACTAATTATACATGGTGCATGAAACTAAAAATGCACCTTATAATCTGGACTGATGCCAGTGAAAAATGCACAGTGGAAATAATTGTGCGCCAATAAGCACAAAATTGTTCATGTTGTATTTCATCACAATCTATATTGCACTTAGTTTGGTCTGGGTTCAGGCCTTTACATTTTTATGTATTATTTCTGTTCACTTGCTGATATTACTCACGTTGTCTTTGTTTAATACTTTTTTTTAGTGTTCTTTAACCACTTCAAGTCCGGACACTTTCACCCCCTTCCTGCCCAGGCTAATTTTCAGCTTACAGTGCTATCACACTTTGAATGACAATTGCGCGCGGTCATGCAACACTGTACCCTTATGAATTTTTTTAGCATTTTTTTTTAGACAGATAAAGCTTTATTTTGGTGGTATTTATTCACCACTGCAATTATTTTTTTGCTATATAAATGAAAAAGTCTAAACATTTTGAAAAAAAAAAAAGTGTTTTTCTTTTAAAATTTTGCAATAAATAATCTTTTGTCATAAATCTTGGCCAAAATGTATTCAGCTATCTTTTTAGTAAAAAAAAAAAAAAAAAAAAATTTTATTTTTTTTTACATTTTTATTTTTTTTTTATATTATTATTTTGCTATTTTTTTTTTAACATACTTTCACCCTAATAGTGACACTGTACTACTTGTGTGGGGTGATGAAGATTTTTTTTTTTACTGATTGCTTTTACACCCATAAGGGCTATAAAAACAATCATTTCTCCTTCTCTTTGGCTGCATTCTAACAGCCATTGAAAAATACTGTGTAAGCTGTGATTGGTCACTGCTTGTCACATGGTACAAGGCTGTTAATAGCCTTGTACCATGTGACCTCTGTGATCATTCACAAATTTCACTAGTAGTAAGCAATGATGTCAGCAAGTGACATCTTGCTTACTACTATTCATGTGATCACATGATCGGGACCTCTCACAGAGGTCCCGTACAGTGATCAGTGTTCCGTTCTTGGAGCGCACACAGGCAATGGATGCGGGAGGATGTTTATAAATGGCCACCTGCTCCTGCACTGCTCCCCCGTCCAGCCGTTTTATGCGCATTCTCTGCATTACAGTAAAAAAACCTTCCACTACCCGTTTCCCCGTCTTAAAGCAGAACTTCCCCAAAGGGGGAAATTTCGCTTGTTTGTTTCCTACCCCCTCCACTACCACATTTGGCACATTTGGTGCAGTAGGAAGCTGGCTCTGAAGCTGCAAGGCTTTACTTCCGGTTTCCCTTACTGAAGATGCCGTCATCTACACCTGAAGCCGACTGAAGACTTGGGGGAGCACATCGCTGAATCCATGGATAGCCAAGTGTCCTTATAATAAAAATTATTATATAATATTATATAATAATATATTAATTTTAGAGGGGAAGCCTGGAGCTCTGCTTTAATGCTCAAAACAAATCTGCACTTTTATTTGGGTTCAACAATTTTCTCATGAACTTTTCAGTTTGAAAATTACTAAAGCACTCTTTACCCACTCTCCATAATACAGTTTAATCCTGCTCCCTTGCACACAACAGAAATTTTTTTTTTTCTATTATATTATTTCTATTTTTGTATTATTATTTATAATATTATTATTTCTAATTCTAGTATTATTTCTATTAATATTACTATTTTATTGTTATTATTTCCAGTTCAATTTCTAGTATTACTTATTTCCATTATTATTAATAATTCTATTAGTTCTATTTCGATTATTATTTCTATTGCTAATATTATCGCTATTTCTATTAATATTTCTATTGTTATTAATATTATTATTATTTTGAAGTTGCTCTTTAAAGCAGCTTTAACAATCAGTGATACTGAACACTAGCAAGACTTTTGTTCAAGGCTGTCATATGTACAATAGAAGAAAAAACTTTGAGCCGATAACAAAGTTCAATAGAACATATTCCACCCATAGAGCTGCTGTACATTCTGTAGCAGAAGGGCAGAATTCCAGCTCCAGGGATGAAAATGAGTGTGTAATACAGGGAAACATGGTAAGAAGTAGAAAAGGGGGTGTTTTGTTGATTTGTCTGGACAAGGTAGGTGCTGCAGAGAGGAATCAATATTAGGTGGGGGGTGGGGAATAAATGGAGGTGGAGGGATGTCTTCTGCCATGGAGGAGGGTAAAGCCCAGCTCCAGGCAAAATTAAATTTAAATAGTGTATTGTGCCTCAATTACCTTACTCCTTGGTCTTGACTCTATACACCACTTCCTAAGCCATCCTGTAGTGTAATGGATCAAAGCCAAATTTTTTTTTTTACATTTTGGAGTTGGGCTTTAGGTAGGATTGTTGGATGTCATTTATAGATAGCTCATAGCTTATGAAGGGAAAGGATTTCAGGGATTCTATTTCAGTTTTCGAGAAATTTGAGGTCGGAGTCATTGAGAATGCTTGTCAGTTAATCATTTATCAGGTAGACATTGCACCTTTTCTCCAACACCCCACACCTCCAACAGAGATGGCTCAAGATTCTGTTTTGTGCTGAAAACAGTGTGCAAAGAGATGATCGAGCAAGGTTCATTGGGGGTTATGCACAATGAACTGAACCACAATGCACAACATAGTAGATAGTGCATTACTATACATTGCAGGTTAACCCAGGTAGAAAATGTCTCTACACAGGTTATCAGTATATGTTCTGTTATTGTTCCCCTATATACCGTGAAAGTGCCTTTCCAATAATAATACAATATTGTAATTTTAAAGCCTATCAGTTATTAGTTGATAATAGTGACATACCTCATCAATCAGGATCTTCTTCCTCTGTTTGTCATGTCGATTGGCTTTTAGACTATTTGATAAAAATGGTGTGATGATTTCTTCTAATAAAGTACTGGCTTCCTGGACTCCTGGATCTAGAGAGATCACTTTCCGAAGATCACTGGCACAATCTTGATAATTCTAAAGGAAAAGAAAAAAAAATCTAAATGTTCTACTATTAGTATAACACATCATTACAGAACCCTCTTGTTCTGCTCTTGCAGGTCCGTGTCTCAGACTGCAATATATAATATGTGTGTATGTGTTCATAGGAACATATCAGCACTACATGCATATTATGCACATGGAGAAGAAATTAATATCACTTTCCCGTCCCCTAAGAAATCACACTCATTGTGTGCCAAAAGCTGTGTTTGGCCATCTTTTCCTACCCCTTCCCACACTATTAGACCCTATACACAATGGATGATTTTCCGGTTGCTCCTAGGGGCTCCTGGCATTTTTTTTCCTGCATCTAAATGCCATTGCATGTTAGCCTATATGTCCATTCACACATAGGCGTTTAGAGGAGTTTAGAGGCAGGGAGTTAAGAGGCAGGAGAAAAAAACCAAGACCAGTGCATCCAGGAGCAGTGGCGTTTTGGCAGAAAAAATGATTGACGCCCGGAAACGAGTCTAAACATGCGTTAACACTAAATGCATTTAGCGCTTGAGCGTTAATTCATTTCAATGGACAATGAAATGAACTAACGTGACTAAATGCACCTGAATGCGTTACACACTTACAAATGTCAAACATTTATTTCTGTCAAAATGCTGCTGCCAAGAGAAAAGGCTTCTAGGAATGTTGTCAGAACGTCCTGTGTGCTCGAGGCCTTAGACTGTGTCTGTGCATTTTTCTTGCTGTGCTTTAATATTATGTGAGATTTAATTGGATAAAAAAAGTCACCTTCCAATGTGTCTCATTCCATTTGATCCACTGTATTAGTCATGAATTGTAATAACTGCTTAACTGAAGGCACAATCAAACAATAATCATTACAAATCATTAAAAAGTAGTCAAAATGGGACATTTTGCAATGGGATTGTACAGTGTGTGGACAGTAAATAATCAGTACATCTAATGTATATTATCTTCAAAAATGTGAACACAGTATATTCCAAAATGTGCACAAAACTAACATAAGCGTGCTTACCTATAGAAGAGTACAGTGATGTGCCCTAGGTTGCTTTTATCATACCCCTCCGAGTACCATAATTCCCAGTTTCTGCCCCATTCTGTTTACCTCATATTACCTAAAGAAATGTTGTGTGCATGTCATGAAATATTCATTGCTCCTATTATATGCATGTATGGAGCCAAGGGAAGACACTTAAAACAATTGCCTTGCTTATACTGTTAGCAAAGAGCATATAACATCTCATAAATGTAAATTAAATTTATGGTGTGGGTAAAGGCTAATCATAGTTTTCTTTGTAGAAATGTAACTGGTGAGTCATTCATATCAATCAATAATTCTTTATCAGCAAGGAGCACAAGGAAGGGCAACACATAACTAAAAATTTACAGAAATTCCCGGCTCACTTACCAGCCAACCTTCAACAAACCGAACCGGCCCTGAGTCACATTGAAAACAAGGGCTTTAGGGGGTTAATTTGCACACATTTGCAAATATATGCTTAAGCTGCAGTGGCCATGTTACCTGACAGAAGCATATATTCTTCCTAAGTCTAGTAAAAACTAAAAAGGTATATATATATATATATATATATATATATATATATACACACACATACATACATATACACATAACTTCTACTATATATACACTGCTCAAAAAAATTAAAGAAACACTTTTTAATTAGAGTATTGCATCCCTTTAAGTAAACTCCTGGGATATTGATCTGGTCAGTTAAGTAGCAGAGAGAGTTGTTAATCAGTTTCAGCTGCTTTGGTGTTAATGAAATTAACAACAGGTGCACTAGATGGGAAACAATGAAATGACCCCCAAAACAGGAATGGTTTTACGGGTAGAGGCCACTTGCATTTTTTTCCCTACTCATCTTTTCTGACTGTTTTTCACTAGTTTTGCATTTGGCTAGGGTCAGTGTCAGAAGGTTTGCTGTGTCTCCCAGCACAGTCTCAAGAACATGGAGGAGATTCCAGGAGACAGGCAGTTACTCTTGGAGAGCTGGACAGGGTCGTAGTAGGTCCTTAACCCATCAGCAGGATCGGTTTCTGCTCCTTTGTGCAAGGAGGAACAGGATGAGCACTGTCAGAGACCTACTAAATGACCTCCAGCAGGCCATTGGTGTGAATGTCTCTGACCAAACAATCAGAAACAGACTTCATGAGGGTGGCCTGAGGGCCCGACGTCCTCTAGTGGGCCTTGTGCCCACTACCACAGAAGAACCACCATTGAACACCAGAATTGGCAGGTCCTCTACTGGCGCCCTGTGCTTTTCACAGATAAGAGCAGGTTCACCCTGAGCACATGTGACAGACGTGAAAGGGTCTGGAGAAGCCGTGAAGAATGTTATGCTGCCTGCAACATCGTTCAGCATGACCGTTTTGGTGGTGGTTTAGTGATGGTCTGGAGAGGCATATCCATGGAGGGACGCACAGACCTCTACAGGCTAGACAATGGCACTCTGACTGCCATTGGGGATCGGGATGAAATCCTTGGACCCATTGTCAGACCCTACGCTGGTGCAGTGGGTCCTGGGTTCCTCCTGGTGCACGATAATGCCCAGCCTCATGTGGCAAGAGTATGCAGGAAGTTTCTACAGGATGAAGGAATTGATACCATTGAATGACCCCCACACTCGCCTGACCTAAATCCAATAGAATACCTCTGGGATACCATGTTTCGAGTCAGACGTCGCCAGGTTGCATCTCAGACTGTCCAAGAGCTCAGTGATGCCCTGGTCCAGATCTGGGAGGAAATACCCCAGGACACCATCCGTCGTCTCATTAGGAGCATGCCCTGAAGTTGTCAGGCATCCATACAAACACGTGGGGGCCATACAAACTACTGACTATCATTTTGGGTTGCTGCAATGAAATTTCAGCAAAATGGACTAGCCTGCTTCATCATCATTTTTTCACTTTGAGTTTTAGGGTGTCATTGAATTCAGTCCTCTGTAGGTTGATAATTTTCATTTCCATCAAACAATGGGGCTTTTTTACGTTCTTAACACATTACCCAGTATCAATATAGAGATCAAGCATGATATGCTTCCCCATTGAGATCTGATGTGTTTTCAAAGTTTTTCTATATATTTTATATATATATATATATATATATATATATATATATATATATATATATATATATATATATATATATATATATGTTCTACCAAATATATATCACTATACTATATTACTATCTCTAGTAAGTGTGTACTGGTAGAGCTGGATGGTTGACAACCGGGTGGCAGGCTTAGTTTGGAGCATACACATGTGATGTGTAAGAACTTTGGGTTCTAGGATGATTTACTTCTATGAACAATGTGGCTATCGTTTCCTAGATGAACAGTAGGTAGCTGTGTAGTATAACCTGGGTAGGTTCTATACAAAATCTTTACTGGTTGGAATTGTAGTATACAGTCAACGTGCTCCAGGGGATATGGACTCTCTCTTCCTGAGGGCTTATGGTGGAGTACTTGTACAAATGTTCTAGAAGACTGTGAACTCTATGTACAGTATATTGTCTTGAGGATATGTAAAGTTGGATTAGCAGCATCAGGTGCCGACAAAGCTTTGGTGTTTTTTATTTTGTACACACTGGTTTGCTCAGTTAAATGTAGAGAACACATCCAAGATAAAAATATAATGCAGCATGATTTTTTATGACCACATCTGTTCGTGTTTTAGGAATGAAAGGCTGAATTATTTGAAAACACTTGACTAAAATGCAGCCATTCCTCTGGAAAGTAGAAAATATCAGTATAATGTACTACTCAGTATGTTCACTTGTGACTTCCACAAACATACACAATGCACTGTATGGCCATGTAATACAGATGAACTTTACCATACATTACATGCCTGGATTGTGAAAATCACTTCAAACACACCCAGTGAATACGGCTTCCTGTCTGTGGGCTATTTCTACATTACAACACAAGCTGCTGGTGGCATAGAAATCCAGCAGCAGTGCAGTTATGCTTTGTCAGTTATTATCCTCTCATTTACCTCTAATCCTTTGTAGGCCTGAGCTCGCCTGTACAAAGCCTTGATATTAGAAGCATCCCTGCGCAGGGCACAGTCACAGTCATGTCTGGCCTCTTCATACTGGCACAGTTTCAGATAGCATAGGGCCCTGCAAAAGAAAGTGTAAGCTCAGCTGAAATTCGGCATTTGTCGGCCCAGCAAATTGTGTTAGCATATAAAAAAGAAACAGGCTTGTTTGGTACAGGGTAAGATTGTCATGATGTGCCCCCAGTCTAGTTTTATTGTACAAAACCTTTTCATTGAACATTTATATTCACCTTAAAGTAAATAAAGCCATGTACTGTGCTTGTTTAAGAATGCAAGCTATAAATTAACTTGTCACAAGCTCAAGCAATTTAAGCCAAGAATATATGGACACAATACAGAAGCAGAGGTTGAAAACCACATATACAAAATGAGCAGTAGATTCAGAGATAGAGGCAGCTTAAGTTCTAAGCACATCTTGACTTTTCCTGTCAAGGCTCCCCCACCCTTGTCTGCCAAGCCTCCTTATAGCCCGGTAGTTGGAAGGTGTTGGGCTACTGATATCCATTCTCTCTTCCTTTTATCTAAACACGGACACTGAGCTTAGCTAAACACTTGGGTTTATATAAAGTACATGCTGGACAATTATGCATGTCCAACTACTCTTTAAGGTATTGGCACCTTTACAATTTTAGTAAAAATCTTTGTAACTTAAGAATAACTTCTACAGATCAAATTGTGATGCTGTCAAGTTTTGGTGACTTTAACAGTGCACAAAGTTATCTTGTGGCTATTCGGGCCATAAATAATGCCCAGCATTTGGCATATTGGTAGATTGCAAAGTGACATGCTCCTCTCTACTTGTTGTAAGTATATGGAGGAAATATTCTGCCCAACAGCCTAAGACAGCCAATTGAAGCTGGCCATAGATGAATCCAAATTTGGCCAGTTCAGAAGGGATCAGACATATTTTGATCCATGTATGGCCACTCCCACTTGACAGAAGTCGATCTAATGATTGACTTCCTGATCTGTCTGAATACAATGGCACAGCAGAGAGGATTCCTCTATCCACCTCGCTTGTGTGGATGGGGGAATCCGTATATTTTTTTTCCAATCAGCCTGAGGTAACTATGGCCAGCCTAAGTACCCATGTGGAATCTGATTCCTAGGGGAAGCAATTCTACTTCCTTTACGGTATATAGAAAAAAACATTATTATGGTTACGTTCAGTTGGTGTAAAGTTGCTTGTAAACTATTACTATCCTCATGTCAGGGTCTGGCAATATGCATCCTCACAATGGCTGCCAGGAATACTGGGATTTGTAGTTTTAGGGAAATAAAGTTAATGGGCCCTTTAGCCTAAGGATCCTTGTATAAGAAATGTCTGTTTTGCCACAGCCACCAATGAAATCCAAATATAGATTCTCCAACAGGAGTTGGACTTGGGAGAAGATTGGGTTGGAAGGCGTTTGCTCCCTGGCAAAGTAATGTATGATGGGCTGTTGGTCCTGAGTGGAGATACAGCGTTCAGTCTGGGACCCACAGTCAGTGATAGCCACTGGGCTTTACATAGCTACCTGCTCCCTGTTCAGAACTGAGATCACAGCATCTAGAAGAGGGAAGTCTTTTAGCACGGACTTCCTTTGTGGCTCTGAATTTTCATGCGACCAAATGCCAACAGCCACAAAGGAAGCTGAAGATGAAAGATGTACGCTAGATCTGTATCTATGATGAAACGGAAACTTGGTTGTTTTTGCCTGCCAGGCCATAAGTCCTTCCCCGAGTTCAGGATGTTTGAATCTGACTGGTGGCTGTACTTGGTGATCACCGTGTCTCACCTGTTGGTGTATATGGTACATTCCTCTGGATTTATCTGTAAACACTCTGTGTATTTCTTTACAGCTTCTCTATAGTGAGACTTCTTCACATAATCATTCCCTTCCTGCTTCAAAGACTCGAATCTTTCCTTGGACGATTTTCCTGGAAAAACAAGCCATACAACCTCATGTAATCTATAGCAGACTTTTGATTTAAACGTTTAAGAAAAAGAAATGAAAACTTTTTTTTAGGCAAATGCAATCATGATTTGCTTAAAATGTCATAATGGCATGTGTTTATGTTTTCAAACTTATTACCTTAAGCTTACCAAACATTACAAGGACCTACCTGATTGGATAAAAAATGACTAATGATTACAAAGGTCCTTATATTACATAGTTTTGGTAACTCTAAGGCCTATTGCATACTGCAGCTTGAAAAAGCTCAGTAGTGTTCTTTTTTACTGATCTAAACTGCAACACATTGTTTACAAATAGGAAATCATAAATAGGAAGGCCCATTGGCTGTTACATCACCCCAATTCCCTTTTCATCCTGTTTTTTTTGCCCCTATGCAGTACTTTTTATACACATCTTGTGTCGTTACATTTACTATTTTCTCATTATATCTATTTGCTGATGATGTACTAAATAATTGTGCAAGCACTTTCAGTGTTTCTTATTTCATTTTTCCTTACTGAGGATTTAGTTCTGCATTCTGGCTGTGGATGTCAATAGACGACCTCAGTGTGGAATGTTTGTGGCCCCTTTTTTACGGGGGGTTATTGGGTGTTGTTTAGGGTTTAGACAGCGCCAGTGGCGGTTTCAGTGACTAAAAGAAGTCTTTTAATCCTACATGGCGGTATTTGAAAAACAATATTCATACTGGATGGTATGTAATTCACTCCCTATTCAACATGGTATTTCTGTAACCCTTGTTGTATGTATTCTTACTGTTGTTTATTGAATTTTAGAGTTCCGTTTCATTATACTATCTTCAGTCCATCCCTGATAAAAGAAATATGTTTTCTGAAACACGTTGGGTATTTTACTGAAGATACTATATCTGTCCAACTTTATTATTCCTAGAAGGGCGACTCAAACTTACATTGAATGTACACTTGTACACTATGTCTTTGGCTGCCTTTTGTTTATTTGTTATCACTTTTTGTCCTTGTGAAGTGAAGTTTTATGAACTTTTGTAATAAAATGCTTTTTGTATATATTTTTTATGTTGAGTTGAGTTGCCTTTCAAGTCCCACCAGTTCTAAAAAAGGGAAAAAGATGTCTTTCTGTACTATTTTGGGACGTTGGCAACATTTTTGTGAATCCTGAGGTGGTGCTACAAAGTTGTTCAGTTAAAGGTTGAGTTGAGTCCTAGACCAAGCTGTTAACCCTGTAGTCTGCACAGAGATCCAGGATCTGGAAGAGCTGTGTGCCAGGAGGTGTCTGGATCACAAGACTAGCTGAGCAGAATTACAAATTATTTGGCTTGTGGTACTGGGTATGCTCATGTCTATCCACAAGCCGGGATTTAACTTTTAGGTCCAGTGTGTGACTTGCTCTCACGTGGACCAGGAGAAAAGTTCAGCCATGATGCAGTAAGAACCCCTGCCATTTGATTCTGTGTCATCTGTACCATTGTTTGTTTACCATACATATTTTACATTGTGTTGACACAAGTCACAGCGTACATAGAACCTTTCACACCAACTCCTATCCTGAGAAGCTTATCCCAATGGAAGCCTCCGTATTTATAGCTATAAGACAGTCAGGCTGCAAATACAGTCATTAATATGCTGCTCTTTTATGGATTTTTATTTCTGCAGCAAGGGTTAAAATACCCTCTCCTGGCAGCAAGTTGGAGAGTCCTACCCCTGCTCTTTCTCACAAGCAGCATCTGGGCCTCCAGTGGTCTATCACGCCCACGGCTTCAATAAACAGCACTGCTCAGGAAGAGAGAGAGCTGTTGGTTGGAGCAGTGTGCTGGGTCTCCAGTTGTGAATGATATTAATGCTCAGAAGAGGAGAGTGTCACAACACCCATAAATCATGGACTATCAATCAATGGAAGACTGTAATATGGTCCGATAAATCGAGCTTTACACTGTTCCCAACCATCAGATGTGTTACGTGTGACGAACACCATCCCAAGGGTATGACCAAGACTGTCTTGTCTTGTGCCAACGGTAAAGAATGGCGGTGCAATCATGGTTTGGGCAGCCATATTGTGGTATTCTGCAGGCCCTACCATCACCTTGAAAAGTAGAGTCACTGCAAATTTTGGCCGACCATGTGCATCCCATGGTGCAGATATTGTTTCCTGAAGACAGCGCCATTTGCCAAGATGATAATGCTCTGATTCACAGAGCTGGTGTTGTCAAATCATAGTTTGATGAGCATGCAGACAAAGTCTCGCACCTTCCCTGGGTGCCACAGTTGCCGGACCTCAATATCTTAGAGCCACTATGGTAAATTTTGGAGAACAAAGTTCGGACTCATTTTCAGCCTTCAGCATCTCTGCGAGAACTGGAATGATTTTTGCATGAAGAGTGGTATCAGATTCCATTATCCACCATCCAAGACTTATATTTGTCGATTCCCATGAGAGTTCAGGCCATCATGGATGCCAAAGGCGGTCCAACACCATATTAGGTAACGATTTTGTTAGATTACCTTGCGTTTCCATAATTTTGTCCAATATATGCAAGTCATCCGGTAACCTAGATGTGCAAAGCCATAACTTTTAATTAGAAGGAAAATAGGGCAGTGGCCGCTGCAAGCCTCCTGGCTCGGCTCAACTCTTGGCTCAACTACTACGGTAGGTGCTGGTCCCAGAATGCAGCATGTCTTGATCCACTCAAATGCTGCAGTACAAAAAACTCAAGGCCACTCGCTGATGACGCCAACCGTTCATTTTATTGAAAGAGAGCAGCATTTCCACAGTAGTACGCTTAAGTCCAATCCAGGTAAAATACATCAGTAGACATGGCCAATGGGTGGGAACTTTGCAGAAGCCATTTATTTTCAATAAACTAAATGATTGACGTCATCAAAGTGAGGCCTTGAGTTTCGTACTGCGCCATACTTTTAATACTTTATTATACGTTACAGTCTACTTTCAGATGGGTCTTCTCTTTTTCCTTCTTACACATAAACATGTCAGTATGATCTAAAAGCTGAACAACCTATAAGTGTTAGACTGCAGGAGGAAACCTGAGCACTAGGTAGAAACACAAACATAGTGTGATCATATGGACTTCATCTCCATCTCTGATCATTCTGGCAATTCAGCTCTACAAGCTCTGTCTGGCAAATGTGTTCACCCCAAAGTTACTGGTCCCTACATTGGTTGGGGAATCAACAACCTATCAGGCTGCATGCACAGATGCTGCAACAATTTAACATTGCATGTTGCGACTGCCCTCAGCCTATAAAAGGTGAAATCTGATTGGCTGGTATGGCTCACAGTGCTGCTCCTTTACCTGTGTTATTAAATAACTCTGTACTTATGTTTATGGTGTTGTTTAAACTGGTGACCATGAAATTATCCAGATTGTTCAATCTGGCACTTTGCTTCAGTGATAATATTAGATATTGATCCTCTCACTCAGCTGTTGGGTTCAGAGGACACACAAATATTTGAGAACGTATTCACAATTTTGCCAGTGAATATTCCTGTTAAAGAGCAACACAGTGGCTTAGTAATAAGCACTTATGTCTTGCTGCACTGTGGTCCGTGGTTTGAATCTTGGCCATCTGCATGGAGTTTGCATGTTTTTTTCATGTGTTTGTATGTTTTTTTTTTTCTGTTTACTCGGATTTACTCCCATACTCCAAAGACACGCTGATAGGTTAATTGGCTGCTGCCTGATTTGGCCGTAGTACTGTATGTGTGTACAGATTTACTATGCACATGTGTACCACATTCTGCATGCCAGTCCCAAGTTGAGCAACTGGGGAGGGTTGAGGAAAGACCTGGTGATCTAACTCGGAATAAATTTGCCAAGAAAACTCTTTGGAAAAGGCTTTCAGGTGTACTAAACGTGCCCAGGGATCAGGCCAATTAGAACAACAGAGTCAGATATGACTGAAGGAATATATACACATACATACATACTGTACATACATGTTAAATTTAAAGCATACGTAAATACAATTACTAAAATCTCATAAAGCTTTACCATATTAAAGTAATTTTCAATATTCTTAAAACGACAGTTTTCAATAAAATTATTTCTATCTAATAGTGCCATGATGGTCTGTTATTTATTTATTTACTACAGGTATTTATATAGCGCCCACTGTTTAGGAACTCTCTGGTGTGGAGTGACAACGCTCTGTCCCTGTCTTCAAGTTTTTCTCCAGCGTTGCTACATATAGCCTCCCAATAGGGACTGTACTAGCCATGCCAACATGCATTGCATGGACATGTTTTACTGTAGCCACCGTCAGAAAACCTGCCCTGAAAAATGCTATGTAGCCATCACTGCAGTGCAGGCATATAAACAGGAAGTCACTGCAAAGAGGCTGCAGGAGATCAGTAGCACTGAGATGCAAAAAAAAAAAAAAAAAAAATTATAAGGAAAAAAAGCACAGCAACTGTTCCTGACACGCATTTTGGAAAGCGAAATACCATTCACATAGAGTTTCTATCTACTTAAACCAAATCCTGCACCTAAAAAGCAAGGTTGTTTAATTTTGCCCACCTCCCTCTTGCGTTGTCACAGAGAAAAAAAATTAAAAAAAACACATGTAAAAGAAAAAACTGTTAGTACACCCTGCTTTCTCTGGTTTCCACCTGTGGCTCCTAGGTGAAGGTGATCTTATTCTCTGTCTGGAGGGATTCCAGGGAATATAGTGTACCCCAAATCTTGCTGAGAAGACGTTCTTAGCACTGTGCTGGAGCATCTTTTCACTACATTTGGAGTACTCAGCATTGTCAGATTGTTGAGATCAGCCCTTATCACAAAAGCTGGAGTCTTGTTTACACTGTTATCTAAAGTGTTAAAGCAAGGGTATGGGGGAAGCAGAGATAAACAGCAGACCTTGCATGTGGTGCATGTGGTGCAAGTGTTCAAATAAAACCATTTGAATCACAGTCCAGCAGTCTACCTGCTAAGAAGCTACCAACTGACCAAACTTCTGCTAAATATGAAGCTCATTTCAGCTGGTAAAACACACACATCTCCATGACCGTTTACATATATTACATTTTAATATTTTCTGCAATGTGTGGAATGCTGTACAAGCAGCAACACGCCCAGGCTTCCCTGTATTAGGACATGTCAGTGCTATGTCGCAATATTAAAGTGGAACTTCACTCTCTCAATCAACATTGACTATTTTGAATCCTTATACTGCTAGCATTAGTAAATAGATGGGAAAGTATATCATATTTACTGGTCTTAAACTGTTTTTTTTACAGGGGAAGGAGCCATGCTTCTGACGTCATTTATTTATTTCAGGCACTTATATAGCGCTGTCAATTTACGCAGAGCTTTACACATATATATATATTTGAACATTCACATCAGTCCCTAACCCTCAAGGGGTGTACAATCTAAGGTCCCTAACTTACATTCATACATACACATACTAGGGACAATTTAGACAGGATCCAATTAACCTACCAGCATGTCTTTGGAGTGTGGGAGGAAACCGGAGCACCTGGAGGAAACCCACGCAAGCACAGGGAGAACATGCAAACTCCATGCAGGAGGCGCCATGGTCGGGAATCGAATCCATGACCCATTTACTGCAAGGCAGACGTGCTAACCACTAAGCCACTGTGCCGCCCACAAAGCTGAATAGCTTTTGTATACCCAGCCCTCGATCATGCACTTTTGATAAGTGTCAGACTGAGTAAGTGTCATTTTAAACTTCTTTTAATAAAGCCAGCAAACAGAAAGAATTAATTGTTTTCCCTTGATTTTTACATATCCATTTGGACACGTAAGGACATTCCACCGGTGACCAGCAGAGCTTCCATCTTATTGATACCCCTGTGGGGGAATGCGAGATATGATGTGCCTGTTAGTTTAGGGGTCCTACCTTTACCCCCCGGTCACATCAAAGCCAATTTTGAAATTGTGCAACTTACAGTGGGAAGTCGCAGAATTTCAAAATTGGGTGACCTTCCGATTTCATTGCAATTTGCAAGACATCTGACACAGATGTCTACGTAAATTGCAACAAAAGTAGTGCATGTACTACTTTAGAAATCGGTGCAGCTCCGACCAAGTCGGTACCGCACCAATATGGCCGTTCTAATAGCGGACAATAGGGTGCGACTTGGCATACAATTTACAAGTCGCAGGGTATGCAAATCGCATGCCAAGTCACACCCGATGTGACCAGGGGCTTAAGATGAGTGGCCATATTTATGTTTGGTGGCGGGGATTGAACACCGTGTGCACCTGGATGTGTATGCATGTCATGTCTCCCTTTCACAGTTTGAACAGCACTTGCATCTATGGATTGTACGTGTGTACTATTTGGCTTTTATATATTATGACTGTATAAAATACTAAGTATTTTGCGTTGTACTTTATCTACTATTGTCATTTCCAGTAGGAGTTTTACCCCATTCACCACAGATGTGTGGATAGGGGATTCAGGTCATTTTTTTTCTTTCAACCTCCTGGTTGAACAAAAAAAAAAAAAGATTAATCTATGGGCAGCATTAATGGCAAATGGTTTTGTAAAACAGATCAAAAATGTCCACTGTAATAGTAGAAGCATTCAAAACGCTTTCTGGAGATCATCCGACCTGAAAATGTAAGAGACAAAATAGTCAGCCACACATCACATACCAGTGTCCTTTTCTGGTCTGCTGTTCTTTGAAGTCTTTGCAGCGGCCATGGTTTTCTCTTGCAGGTGAATCTGCATGGACACAGGCACCGATGGAATTGGTGGCAGTTTCTCTCTCCAGTTTGGCCCATCCAGATCAATTAATGTTTTTGTAATTCTGTTTGGACAACATTTCAGGTAATATATTTATATAAACTGTATATTGTAGGTAACCTGCAAATACTCTAAGAACACAATGGAAATATTTCCTCTCTTTTGACGCTTTAGCACCACTTTCCATTAGCATGTTAAGTGGCCTTTAATGCCCAGGAAATGGCACAGCTTTTGTATCATGTGACTTTTGAGGATTCCTTGGTTGCTGGTGACATTTTTCTTTCTGGCTCTCACAGCAGTCACATGATCAGGAACCTGTCACACTGACGCCTAATCAGAAACCTTGATTGAGTGCTGTTGGTCATTGTGCTGGGAGAGTGCACTGAGCATGTGTCAACACACATGCTCCTGCTGCCATGGACACATATGTGCAGTGTTTAGGTGTTAAAACCCACCTTTTCTGCTGCTGCATATATATGCTATGCACTCGGAAAGAGGTTAACATTGCAAACGTCCTTCTGCAATCCTTGTGCAAGTCAACAGCATTTAAAACAATAAAAAGTTTATCTGCATAATGCACAGATTGGATGATCAGACATGATATTGCGTATAAATAATTACATTAGTGGACTTTGAAAAACAGTTGGCGTCACTATGTGTTGGACAGGTTGCAGAGCTTTGTACAATATTCTATTCGTCTATGCTGGGAAGGCAATGGCTAAAGCACGACATGGATATTTATGCCATGAGAGGCAAAAGTTCATTTAAAGCTGAACTTCAAGCAAATGGCTAAATAGGCTGATTCAATACATATAAGGTAGTTGTTTTACCTGCCAAAGAATTTGTATTTATGGCCAACCATTTATGAGATTTAAACAGCTCTGCTACACATCGCAGCCCTGTCTGGCATGGGAGGGGACCTAATCTCAGCTTGGGACTGGACAGTAAAAGGAGAAGAAGCACAATGATGTGTCTCCATCATTTTGCTCTCTTCTCCCATCATCATGCTCTTTGCACTGCAGCACACCTGACTGACCTTTGAGCTGCTTTTCCCATCCCCTACAGGAAAAAGAGGCTAAAAGAGGCTGATAAGTTAAATTTAGATACTTACACTCAAAGTTGCTGCCAAAAACCACGAGACCCATACAGCCAACCTAACAGCCCCCCCCCAAAAAAAAAACTGTTTACTATGCTTCAGTTATGAATGAATACATTGAGTGATCAGTACCGCTCATTCAGAAAAAAAAAAAAAAGAGGCTGGTAAATGCAAAATATTTACTGGACTCTTCCCCCACTCTCTATCATGAAGCTTCCTAGTGTGTGCTTGTAGCTGCCAGAGGGAAGGAGAGGAGGGAAACCAGCAGCACTGCAGGGGTGGAGACACACAAGGGGCCTGGGCAGCAGGTGGAAATTTATGGTGCACAGGGAGGGTGATGGGCGCACTGAGGGGGGAGGCATTGGCAATTACTGGAACCAATCCCCTGTATGGTTCTCTCGGCAGCTGAAGAAAGTCAGCAAGAGGGAGAGGAGAAGAATCCATGTTTCAGCTGCTGCAGAGAGCCATACAGGGGATTGGTTACAGTAATGGCCCCCCGCCATGCCAATCACCCTCCCTGCCCACATCCAATTCACCCAGCTGTCTGAGCCCCCCTGCTGGCCTGGGCCCCATACAGGAGGACTGGTGGTACCCCCTTATCCATGGCCCTGCTTACACTGCTTGCATAAACTACATTTATGGATGGCTCACATCACCAGCTGCATTACGAAGCCAGTGGTGTGCATTAGGATGTTGCAGTGCAGATGTACTGATCGTGGCGCATTGCACTGTTTACTTTTCTTTTTTTATATAAACAAACTTTGTTGAAATGTCACACAGTGACATTTCATTCAGTTTTACTGGCCGCAGTGCAGTGCAAGGTGGTCCCACTGTGCTGCACTAAAAAAAAAAATAGTGCATGCTGTACTTTTGTTCAGCACCCACCTCCAAGTTGTGGTGGTGTAAACCAGCCAAGTAGGAGACAAGGCATTTTGCCTTGTCCTGTGGTGGGACTGAACTAGAATAGCCACCACACCTAGTGTAAACAGGCCCTCAATAATGTAATAATGATGACCAATATGCATTCGGTTGTGTCTTTTATACCCTCTTAAAGTTAAGCTTTAAGGGTCTGCTAAACAATCTGCTAAGAAATATATACACACAGACATACTTTTTTTTCTTTTTTAATCAGGTGGATGGATCCTCATCTGTCTTGCTAACAGAAGACTTTTGCTTACAGAGCTCAACAGCTCAGTCTCAACTTTCACCATAAAAGTAAAGAAGTCCAAGTCATTTTTTCACATTCTCATGCTCTAGCAGTTTTCAGTTGCCCCATCTGATGTTTTAGTTAGAGACAGAGAGGCAGCAGCAAATGGGCTTATGTGTTTCAGAAGTTGTTTCTTACCCTGGTATAAATGCAGTTTTTAATATAAAGGTTAAGTGTTTTTAAAAACTGAGGTCAGTTAGCAGAATTTCGGTTGACTAGAAAAACGTACCTGTTGATACTGTCATTGGCCAACTGTGTCCCGCTGTCTATCTGAAGTGCCACCTTATAGTCCACATATGCCTGTCGGTACCGCTCAAGGGACTCATATGCCATTGCTCTTCTTAACAGAGGCTTAATGGAGAATGGCTGGAGTTCCAGGGCCCTTTGGGAAGAAAGATTAAATGTTACAATATTAAAAGGACATAAATAGGTTGAATGTGTGCAGAGGTTGAAACTGAAATATTTAATATCCAAAAACAAATTAAATAATAGATTAATTCATTCTGAGGGCCAACAAGCCTAAAACAGCTACAAGCATTTTGGAATAAATGTCTCTATAATAAACGCAGCAGCCAATTTAGCCCCCTAAAAGTACACCCCTTGAGGGTTAGGGACTGATGTAAATGTACAATATATGTGTAAATTGACAGTGCTATATAAGTACCTGTAATAAATACCTGTAAAGGCCTGGCTGTGTATGATTTTAGAATGTTTCAGTCACAGCCCAGAGCAAGGATTCTGTAAATGAGTGTCAGAAAAGTGCCATAACTTCTCATCTTTATACTTGTTCCGGGTCAGCGATTTAAAAACACTGAAGTCAAAGCATCAGAATAACAGACAAGAACTTAGGAATCCCAAAGCAGAGTTCAGTAATGGCATGAACAGCATTCATTTTTCATGACCGTGCTCCTTTAAATTCCCTAGGTCCCCAGGCTTCGCGTTGTTGATAAATACAAAGTAAATTGAACAATCAGAGTGTAATGTGTACAATGAGGTTTAAAAGCTAAATCCACCTTTTTGACCATATTTATGATGTAACATGAAACATGGTCAGCCCCCACCCTCAAACTGCTCGGGGGAGGCACTTACAGGCTTGGGGGCACAGTAGGAGGCACTTACAGACTGAGGGTTCTTCTCCCCACTGGCTCCTGTCAAAATTGAATACAGTGTGAGTGTGTGTGGCTCTGTCAATGGGCTGAAGAACTGTTGTTCTCAATGGAGCCCAGAATGTAGTCTAGTAAGGAAAGGAAGTCCTAAAAGTCACACATCATAGCGAAGACCTGTGAGGAGGTATATGAGAGCTTCAGCCTGGGCTCCAACCAGGCCACGCCTGCCCAACGCATTTCACTTTGCCCCCAGAGCTTAATCATGGGGACTAAGCTCCAGAGCGGTATAGGGGGCATGGCCTGGTTTGAACCCTCACTGGGCTTTGCTGTGATGTGTGACTTTTGAGACTTCCTTCCCCTACTGGATGTTTTGAGCTGGGACGAGCTCTGTCCTTGTCGACACTTTTAGCAGTTTGTCATGAAAGAGGACCTGGTGGAGCCTTGAGCGGCACCTATAATCTTTGTTGTCGGACAGTTGTAGTCCATTCATAATTCCTCCAGCTTTGTAGCTGAAGGTCCATACCTCAGTGCAGACCTGAGCTGGAGGAATAGTCTACAGGGGCCAGAGCATTACATTCGCTATCCTTTGATCATGGTTGCAATGATTTGCAGGCTCAAATGCAAAAAAAAATACATTTAAATTTTTGCATTTTGTAATATGGGTGCCTTTTTATTTTTTTGCAAAAGGTGAAATTCTCCTTTAGCTGTAAGAATAGTCAAATACCATTGTATGGTTAAGGCCCCATGTATACGGGATACTTCTGAACGATGAAAACCGACTGCTGGAAAATGTAGATTAATAAACTTTGTTTAGCCACGTTTGCATATCGTGTTGATGTGCGTTTATATGCGTTTGCGCTTAGAAGCTTTTTTTTAAAGATAGGCACAGGAGAACCTCCCAAATGCCCAGAATGCACTGAAAAGTGGTAAATTATTAACTATTTTAGACTGTTTCAGAGAAATACAGAGAGTAGAAGCAGAGACAGCAGTATGTGTTGACATTAGCTTAGGTGTGAGTTGCTCATTAACATTTTTTTTGTTTCCAAGGGTGGGAAAGGTGTCTGGTGGATTGAATCGTGAAGGTCATCTGGCAGGGGGTCTTCATGAGGAATTGGAGGTGTGAATGGTCATTAACATACTTACACTTTTGTTTCCAAGGGTGGGAGAGGTCTGAGGTGTGAATTGGTCATTACAATGTGTGACAAGCTTGGTAGAATATCCTGTTTTCAGTGTTTTGTCCATCTGAGTACCTTAAAACACTTTGCTTGCATTTTTCATGAAAAAAAGGCTCTGGACAGCATCGGGAACTGGAAGAGTTAAAAAAAAATTCAGACGCAAACAGTTATAAACGCGATTTGCTGCGTTTACAAGCATTTTGTGTTTGAAACGCTGATAAAATCTACTCCTAAACGCAAGTTTTCTGCGTTCAAAAAAACCACTGTAAACTCAAATGCCTGTAAACGGCTGTAAACAAAGATGTGTACATGGACACATAGGAAAACATTAGGGTGAGTTCAGGGGCTGCTGAAAAAAACGCTGAACAGCTCCTAAACGTGAGTTTAGCGGCTGCAGTGTACATGAGCACTAAGAGTAATACAGCAGCTGCAACCCCAGCTAAATATTATACTGATGTTATAGCATGTCAGGCACTAGTAGGAGGATGGTCAAAGGGATATTCCAGTTATGCACTTCTAGAAGAGAGGGGGAAGACCCTTTTGCTGAGCACGCGACAAACCTTAATTAAAGAAGAAAAATTATTGTGAGCATCAAATTATTCACACACAAAGAAGAAAAATGCTGGCACTGGCATCTCTAGGCATCAACTCATTTTCATAGGGGAGGATGTGTCCAGCACATCAGCCCAGACAGCGGTGAGCGGCTCACCAAGGTGTATTCCTTTATGGAGGTTTAAAATAGACCACAGCAGTAAATGTTTTGCTGAGTCACAGAGGAATTTTTATCACGCTCTTTCCACGACCAAACAAAAAGCACATGACGTGTCTCGTGTATGAACAACCTCTAACGTAAACTCATCTCCTCCTTACATGTCATACCCGAGCCCTGATGACAAACATTCACAATAATAAGGAATATTGAAGACACACTCTATAATATCTATGGCCATTTACACAGAAAAGGACATCCAGGTGTCTTTGTATGTAGCTGGTTGTGTAAATCTGGATACATTCTTTGCAGTATACTCTCAAGAAACACAGCTGATTTCAGCACAGCTTTGGACAAACACGGATTTGTGAAGAGTACTCCTAAGCTACCCAGGCGGAGCGGTGCAGACATACACACGAGTTGGGCTGCTCTTCATTCATGTGTCTGTGTCGGGTGGTGCCCTGTGTGGTTGAGGTTTGGCACGCAATACCAGGCAGTATTATTTATGAAGCCAGGGATGAATGAGATTTGATACAACCAATCCCAAACCCAAAAGCTCCAGTCCTTAGTCACTCTCATTTCCATTGCAATAAACTATAATCTCTCCACTCATATACGCAGAACAGAGTTGAATGAACTAGGTGTGATGACCACAGCAAGTAATGGTGATCAGGTCATGAACAGATGCATCTAGTAGACCAGTGGAGGGGTAAATTGATGATCACATGAATAATAGTAAGCAAGATGTCACTTCTAACATCATTGCTTACTACTAGTGAAATCTGTGAATGACTTGTCCAATGTTAGCAGAAATCTGCTAATCAGCTGGAGTGATACCTAGACATGTATAACAGGTAATGACTGTTCCCTTTTCTTTAACACTTCAAGCCCGGACACTTTCACCCCCTTCCTGCCCAGACACTTTCACCCCCTTCCTGCCCAGACACTTTCACCCCCTTCCTGCCCAGACACTTTCACCCCCTTCCTGCCCAGACACTTTCACCCCCTTCCTGCCCAGACACTTTCACCCCCTTCCTGCCCAGACACTTTCACCCCCTTCCTGCCCAGACTTTCACCCCCTTCCTGCCCAGACACTTTCACCCCCTTCCTGCCCAGACACTTTCACCCCCTTCCTGCCCAGACACTTTCACCCCCTTCCTGCCCAGACACTTTCACCCCCTTCCTGCCCAGACACTTTCACCCCCTTCCTGCCCAGACACTTTCACCCCCTTCCTGCCCAGACACTTTCACCCCCTTCCTGCCCAGACACTTTCACCCCCTTCCTGCCCAGACACTTTCACCCCCTTCCTGCCCCGACACTTTCACCCCCTTCCTGCCCCGACACTTTCACCCCCTTCCTGCCCAGACACTTTCACCCCCCCCTTCCTGCCCAGACACTTTCACCCCCCTTCCTGCCCAGACACTTTCACCCCCTTCCTGCCCAGACACTTTCACCCCCTTCCTGCCCAGACACTTTCACCCCCTTCCTGCCCAGACACTTTCACCCCCTTCCTGCCCAGACACTTTCACCCCCTTCCTGCCCAGACACTTTCACCCCCTTCCTGCCCAGACACTTTCACCCCCTTCCTGCCCAGCCCAGACACTTTCACCCCCTTCCTGCCCAGACACTTTCACCCCCTTCCTGCCCAGACACTTTCACCCCCTTCCTGCCCAGACACTTTCACCCCCTTCCTGCCCAGACACTTTCACCCCCTTCCTGCCCAGCCCAGACACTTTCACCCCCTTCCTGCCCAGACACTTTCACCCCCTTCCTGCCCAGACACTTTTACCCCCTTCCTGGCAAGGCCAATTTCCAGCTTTCAGCGCTATCACACTTTGAATGACAATTGCGCGGTCATGCAACACTGTACCCATATGAATTTTTTAGCATTTTTTTGAGACAGATAAAGCTTTATTTTGGTGGTATTTATTCACCACTGGGATTTTTATTTTTTTTTGCTATATAAATAAAAAAGTCCAAAAATTTGAAAAAAAAAAGTGTTTTTTCTTATAAAATTATGCAAATAATCTTTCTTCATAAATCTTGGCCAAAATGTATTCAGTTATCTTTTTAGTAAAAAAAAATAGCCCAAATTAGTTTATAACTAAAAATTATAATTTTTCAAAATTTTGTTTTTACATTTTTATTTTTTTTATATTATTATTTATGTTTTTTAACATACTGTCACCCTAGCAGTACAGTGACACTGTACTACTTGTGGGGGGTGATGAAGATTTTTTTTTCTTTTTTACTGATTGCTAAAGGCTGTAAAAGCAATAATTTCCCCTTATCTCTGGCTGCATTCTTGCAGCCATTGAGAAGTACTGTGTGAGCTGTGATTGGTCACAGCTTGTCATATGGTACAAGGCTGTTGTTAATAGCCTTGTACCA